TTGTTCTAAGTTTCAAAAAATGCTTAAGAAATTACATTATTATTTACATTTAAAAAGGACACTAGTCACTTGTATATTCCTCTTATATCATAATTATTTTTTAATTTTATAATTTATGATGTACTCGATGCATAAATTTATTCAATTGTTAGAAAAATTTATTATGTATCAATTAATATTGACAGATAATATATTTTTTTATATAAAGGTAGATGTGTATTTGTATGTAATATGGATATCAAATCAAAACTCGTCAAGAGATATTCATTAGATATATATAAAATTTGTATATATCATATATGGAAATTTGATAACAAATTCGAAAGTTATTAACCTTTAAAATATATTTATAAATTAAGTTAATTAAGTGATTTATAATGTTAAAACGCCTTAATAGACATAGATAAAAGTTTAGATTTATATGGACTACTGCAAAGCACCATAGTAACACTAGAAATCGTCACATAAGATAGGATTATGAGACACGGATAAAAGTTTAGATTTATATGGACTATTACAAAGCGCCATAGGAACACTAGACATCGTCACATAAGATAGGATTATGAAACACTGGAAATTGACATGTGGGTTTGAAAGAGATGTCTCATTCGGATTAAAAAGTGGATGCTTCCCTAACCATATGATCTTTTTAATTGATATTTGAATTTTTTTCTCCATTCATCTATTAAGAATATTGTATACTATATTTGAAAAATTTTCTCCATTCATCTATCAAGAATATTGGATACTATTTCCCTCACCCATTTTTTACGGTTGGATTACACATCCACCCACCCGTGTGGGTGTGTTGATCCAATGATAAAATATAGCATATTTTCCATCAATTGCGAGCCTAACATTCAATGTGACACTTACTTTCTTTTTCTTCTTATACATACACATATACTTGCTTGAATATTTAATTATTATTTTTTAAATAAAATACTAGAGGAGTTAATAATGTGTAGTTTGTTGGATGGAACACTCAATCTTTTCTATTATATTATATAATAATTAACGCTAATACCAACTAATAATAATTCACAATAAATATAAATTGTATAATTATAAACAATTGTTTCAAGTTATTTATTTTAACATCAATATTAATTATCTTTTTCTTTTGTATCTCGTGAAAAAATTTATTTAAAAACAATTAGTATATTGTTTTAATAGCATAGTCAAACAACATAAGAATTTTATAAACAATTGTTTTTGTAATAATAATAATAATAATAATAATAATAATAATAATAATAATAATAATAATAATAATAATAATAATCAAACTGCTATTATCTAATGATAATAAACAATTGTTCATAATCATAAACAGTGATTAATTTATTTGTTCTAATAATTAAATTTTAAAAATATAATATGTTCATTATCTAAAATTTTAATATTAAATTCTTAAATATTACTTATAATATTTTATGTATATCTGTGCATGTGCACATAATATTTATTAGTGAGAGATTTAAGGGTTGCAATATATTCAAGTCTTCTTTGAAGATGACTTTCTGAATTTCAGCAAAGGGTTGCAATATATTCAATTTTTGAATTTCATCTCTATACTATGCTTCCTAAAGAGATAGACAATGAATGACAAATAGATTGTATTTTTGTATTTTTCATTAATTTAATTTATGCAATAGTTATGAAATGATGACAAATGAGAAGATAAACAAAAATAAGTAAAATAAAAGAATAAGAAAGATAGTATGCAAATTAGAAATGTGTACTTTCAATAACCAAACACTAAATTGCAAGAAACTCACCTCCAACACCTAAACATAATAAAAATTATATCCTTCGTGAAAATTTCAAATGATATTAATATAAATGATTGATTTATTCACTTATCCGTATAAATATATATATACTGACATTCAATTTAGATTATCATTCTTCTATTTTATCACTACTTTGATTTATTTTTTTAGGTTATTTAGTTTTTTTGAGAATTTTTATTAAATGATGTGGATTATTTTCACATTCGTGAAGTTAGAAAATGCTACCATGACGTGAAAAACATGATGTATTCAGTAATTATATCGTATACCTGTTATAATGTATACTAATCCTTATATTCATGTCAGCTAAATATTATTATTATTATCTTTTTGCCAGCTATAGAAATTTCTAATACACCGCTATATAAGGGTGTAACGGAATATTTTTATTGGCAATTTCTTTTATGAAAAAACATAAAATTAGGGAAGAATCAATGATTTTAATAATGTATAAAGATGCGATACAAAGTATAATATTTAATCATGATGGAACATAAAAGTATTATATGATCATAAATTTTACAGATAAATGTACACTTACTATTAATTTTTAATTTAATATTTTGTGTTTGGAAAATTGATTAAATAAGAGAGAAATGAAATTAAATGAATGTGTTTTGGTTTTCTTTTTCCCTGAACGATAGCAATATTAAAAAACCCGCCAACAAGACTATTTACAATATCAAATGTTAACCGACATCAATACAACTTGGGCATAAATATTAGCCCAGACTGAACAGAGACATACCAACCGAAAGAGGCAGACCCTACAAACACCAAAATACGACTACAACCTGGAAACATCCGTACAAAACGAAACATAATCGGCACAAGATGGAAATAGACCAGAAAGAGGAATTTGCACCACATACAATAATATTTTATTTATATAACATTCTTACACTTGATTTAATTTTATTTATAAAATTACTGAATCACTACAAAATAATTACACATATGCTAGAAGTCAGATTTTAGTCAAACTATCTATTAATTAAGGAATAAATCAAATTAGATGTGATTTACTTCTCTTTAATTATATCCTCCAAAATCGCCCACCATCTTTGCCAAAACTGTCCATATTCACACACCACCACCGCCATAGCTTAGGTCAGCCTTGGAGTTCCAAAACTTCCACTCTCCCTGTTTTTTTCTAATGCATATCACGCAAATTTCATGAGCCCTCCATTCCCACTCAACATCATCGCCAATCAGGGGCGGAGCCAGGATTTGAAATCTACCTGGGCTAGAATTATTTAAATTGAAAAAATGTTATTTTGAATTATTTTTTACTTGCATGATTTAGTATTTCAACTTATCAAACCTTTAATTTTAAACTTACTACTAATAAAAATAAAACACACAAAAAAAAATACTCATGTATTATATGTGAAAAGGATAAATTAATAACTAAATTCTAAAAATGCAATTACCGTAGATAAATAATAGTATGTGAATTAGAAAAAAATGCAATTAATAACTAAATTCTAAAATGAAATTTTTTGTGAATTAGCTTCAGACTTAGTAGGACGAAGACCGAGTACATGATGTGCGCTTTCAGCATGGCTTCACATGATGATGGTGGCGTTACCCTTGACGGGCAAGTGGTGGCCAAGAAGGAGACTTTCCGGTATTTGGGATCGATGCTACAAAAGGATGGCGGCATTGATGCTGATGTTAGGCATAGAATTGCAGCCGGTTGGTTGAAATGGCGTCAGGCGTCGGGCGTTCTCTGTGATAAGAGGGTGTCAAAAAGGCTAAAAGGTAAGTTCTATAGGACGACGATTCGCCCCGCGATGCTATACGGTGCTGAATGTTGGCCTACAAAAAGGCAACATGTCCAACAACTAAGTGTAGCAGAGATGCGTATGTTGCGTTGGTTCTGCGGGCACACAAGAAGGGATAGAATCCGGAATGAGGATATTCGAGATAGGGTCGGGGTGGCTCCAATTGAGGAGAAATTGGTTCAACATCGGCTGAGGTGGTTCGGACATGTCTAACGGAGGCCTCCTGATGCACCGGTGCGTAGGGGAGTTCTACAGCGGGTCGAGTATGTTAAGAGAGGTAGAGGTCGGCCTAAACTCACTTGGGAAGAGTCAGTTAAGAGAGACCTTAAAGATTGAAATATCTCCAAGGATTTAGCGGTGGATAGGAGCGCTTGGAGGCTCGCTATCAACGTGCCAGAATCGTGACTTTTGCTCCTTTCTCTCTCTCTCTCTCGTTTTTTTTTTTCGATCTCTTCCTTTCGATTCGATTCTTTTTGTGTTTCTCTTGGGTTTCATCTCTAGCCTACCCCGACTTGCTTGGGACTAAAGACTATGTTGTTTTTGTTGTTGTTGTGGGTATATCTTGCGTATCAGCAAAAATTTGATCGAACTCTCCTATTTTTTCTGTGTTGTGATGATGATTAAAACTCAAATTCAAATTTCATATCTTTCCTAAATTTTATGCAAACCGTTTTTTAGTAACATATTCATTCCACAGTCAACAAGGTTTTTTTTTTTTTCTTTTTTCTTTTCTTAAGTAACAGGATAGAGGTTGAAATGATTTACTAACTGACTTAAGGCATTAAGTTAATTAAATATTATCTTTTAGGTAAAGAAGTAAGTTAATTTTATTTGTATGGTATAATTGCAATTAGGATAATCACGTGGGATAGATACAAATTTCCCCAAAAGAAACACGCAAACAAAAAGCCTAACCCATGTTTTAAATACCGTACCGTACCGGCCGGTATTACCGGCAATACCGGATACCGGTGGTCCGACCAGTACGGTTACACTTAAGATACCGTTTTGGCCAAAATACTGGTTTATACCAGTTTCATATCGGAAAATACCGGTTTACCGGCCAAAATACCGGTTTATGCCATATTTTTTTTTAAAAAAAAAATTTAATATATTTTTATTAATTTATTTATATAAATTGAAAGTTCTACACTTAATTTTAATATGTTTACATTGTTATTAGATGTTAATTAATTTTACTATTAGTTAAAGTTAGTTTTGTACATCATTTATATTATAATAACAAATTAATTTAATATTTATTGAAATCGGTAAAATAGACGATAATACCGGTCGAACCGATTGAACCGCGTACCGTTGGCTCGTCCGATATTATAACCGGTACGATATTTAAAACACTGGGCCTAACCAAGGGCTAAACAAATGACAATCGAAAACTCAGAAAACACAACATACTTAAAGAATAGAGTCTAGAGTCCTCTCCGACAGCCAACGAGCACAACGCCGCTACCACCAGTAAGAACCGACACTCCAAGACAACCATGTAAAGAGGAATCTGACCACGGAAGCAAGAATCACGGATCTAGACACTCCAACACTTCTAATGACTTCGGCTACTCAGATCTAAGAGAAATGAACCACATCCTACCTTACTCTTAGTCGACCTTCACGGGATGACAACCGAAAGAACAAAAGCCACCTTCTCCACCACCCTTCGGTGATAACGCGACCGCCGACCACAAACTGGAGAGATGAAATCGAGGCTTGATCCTCTCAATTGCTATCTAGAACAAGAACACTCTAACGAGTACGCATGGGTGGGTGGCGGCGCCGGCGACTCCATAGTCGGCACTGAGAAAAAGGAGACGAGGGGGTGAAGTGAACTCGTGTTTTGGTTGATGAATAAATAAATGGAGACAGGGAGGCACGACAAAATCAAATCTGAATATTTTCTTCTCCGCGGATGGAGAGAGAGAAAAGGGAGATAAGAGTGGGTGAAGTGAACTCGTTTTTAGGTTGATGAATAAATAAATGAGACGACTTCAAAGTCGTTTATGCACCCTAAACCGTGTAGCTCATGCTCATTTAATAACGAGTCAGGCGGCTCGACACTTTTCATAATCAAGCAAAAAGCTCAACTCGAGCTAAACACTTTTCATAACAAACAAAGAGCTCAACTCGACCTCACTTCAATTAGGCTCGGCCCATTTAATAAATCTAAAATCGTAAATCACGAACAAAATATATTTGGTCGCGCACACATTCAACTCGGCTATTTCATTTAAATTACACAAGAAAAAAGCAGATATTCGCAAACAATCACAGGACAATTAATATAAGCTAATCGAGCTCGACTCGCATAAGTAAAAGAATAAGGCTTTTGCTCTTTTGATATAAAAATAAAAAATAAAATAAACAAATGACCATAATTGCAATTTACATGTTGACAAAATACTTAAACATCATATGAACTCGGGTTGCAGAAATTGCTAGCAGCCAACACATAGCTCTTAGACTACCCAGAAAACATTGCATTCCTTTATTTTTTTCAGTTTTTGACCTGCTTTCCATTTTTCCGCCTCGTAGGGCCACTAGAATCGGCTGCCTACATCAATTTTCGGCCTCTGCGTTGGCTGGTAGGCTGAAAAACTTTTTAGCCGATTTTCTCAAAACCGCCTTAGCTTAGGGCACCTAGGGTCTAGGCGGCTGCACAAGCCGATTTTACAATATCGACCCTTTACTTATTTTGGCCCAAAACAATAATAACTAATAAAAGAATATGAACTATAAGCATTTTAGAATCGGAGAGGAAAGCCAAGAACAAGATGAAGTAAGATCATAGATCTTTTTTCCCTGCGAGTTTCAACATATTCAGCACATTCTCATACACAATAAATGTAAGTGAAGCAGCAGGGGCATTTTTCAGCACGTTTGCTGTGATACCCTTATAGAATCCTCGTATGCCCTCAAACCTGTGAGAGCCAAAGAGGAAAAAAACACATTTTTTTATCAAAATGTTGGAAGTCATAATGTGATGAAGCTCAACTAAATGACATGCTTTTCCTGCATAGTTATGGATTCGTAGAAGAACCTCGGTAAAACTTTGGGTTCTAACAATAGATATTAAGGGTGTGCCAAAATAAGACTATGTTTGGTAAAACTAGCTGATAAGCTAGCTTATAGCTTATCAGTAATTTTTGAGCTTATAGCTTATAGCTTATGACTTATAGCTGAAAAGCTAGCTTATATGATAAAAGTGTTTGGTAAAATTAACTGATAAATTAGCTGGAATAAAAAATTCAACTAGCTTATTTGAAAAGCTTCTTTAGCTTTCTAAAAAAGCTCGTCCTACCAAACGAGTCTTATTTGAATACAGGGAGCTTATAAGCTATAAGCTAGCTTATTTGTCTACCAAACACAGCCTAAAAATCATTCCTGAAATTAAATGTATAGCAAACAAGTTGGATGAAGATGCTTACCGTGCAGTCTCCTTCAGAACGTGCAAACTGTCCACATATCTTGGAATGCCTGGAATTTCCGGTCGTTGCTATAGTCAAAATAATCATAGTCAGCATTTGCAAAGGAAAGAAGCTTAAAAAGTTTCAGAACCTATTAGTTTATTTGCAAGGTATGGTACACTGTGGTTAAAGCAAAGTTTGAACGACACATGTTACGAGAAATAGAAAGTACGGCTCGGTTCCTCTTACCTGCAATCTAGCTCGAATAACCTGGCAGAAATCACCCAACACATTCAGCAAACATGAAAGACAATTTCTCGTATAATCCATTAAGAATGTATGTTGGTACAGATAATCAATCTTCAAAAGGTGCCTACCTGAAAAGGGTATGTCAAAAGAACGGCAACTAATTTTGAAGAAGCACCTAATACTGCGTAATCAAATGAATCCTGTAGACCAAAATGCCTGAGAATACTGCGTAATTTTGAAGCACCTAATACAGCATAATCAAATGAATCCTACAAAAATGCCTGAGAATCTATATTTTATGTACAAAAGCCAAGCCAATCCAAGCCAAAATGACATTTCATAATCCTCATGTCTTTACAAATAAAGCAAATCAGTCGACAGAACCTGAGCATTCATGTATTGTGGGCCACATTAGACATCAGTATTTAGAGAAATCAAATAGTGTCCGAATTGCAATTATTAGGTTGAAGTTGCCGATATAGAATCACAATTATATCAGATTATGACTTTTGATGGCCCAAAAGGAAGTGGTTTAGTGCATAGAAGCATGGTACTAACAATTAGCAAGATCATTAGGGTTTTGTAGAAACAGAAATAGCCCACAAGAAACTATTGGGCTTTGATATCGTAATGAGCATATGAGAAATCCATCAACCAATAAGCCAATTAACATGTCATGTATAATATTATAAAAAATGTATACACACTTAGACTCTCTATTTTAACAAATTGTATACATCTTAGACTCTATTTTAACTCAATGTTCAATTTTCTATACACTAGGTAGAAAATTACATATCGAGTTAAAATAGAGAGTAGGTATAAATACAATTCTTGCGCGTCTGAAACAGAAGTTCTCTGAGAAAACAAAATTGTAATCGCTTGATAAAAACTTACCAGTAAATTTTCGGCTACATTAGAATTTTGTACATTTTCCTCAGTTCTAATATTGATAACCATCTTCCGAAGTTCCTCATATGCTGTAAACTGGATAGCACCATGTGAAACCTGCTGAAACACAACTGGTCTTTAGCTACACAGGAAGTCGCCCACAAGAGGGTCGAAAGCATAAGGCCCATGAAATGAGCACTACACTTACTATGAGCCAAATAAATGATA